TCTGGCTGAGGAGTTCTGGGAGTTGAAGTCCACAATCTGGCTGAGGAATTCTGGGAGTTGAAGTCCACAAGTCACCGAGTTTGGAAACCCCTGGATTAGGGTGACGGCGGTTGGAAGCGACAGAAGGCTCACCTGGAAGGACCCCAAAACAAGTTCGAAGACCAGTTTGACATTCATCACTTCTTTCTTGACCGTGTCCGGAAAAAAGGCAAATATGGTGTAGTGGATACCAAACAGAGGGATCAGAAGAAGAGTGGATTTAGCTAGTCTCCTGAAAAAGAGAGAAACGGGGACGAGAAGGCATGGGGGATTATCAGCGCTAGGAGCGGGGTCTGCGGTTTAGCAAGCCACAGAATAATGGAGTTGGAAGGGACCTTGGAGGTCTTCTAATCCAACCCCCTGCTCAACAAGCAGGAGACTCCCTGTAACGACAAATGATTTCATCTTGGAGGACAGGGAAGAACCGCAAGTCACTCCGGTGAGAGATTCACGTCCCAGAAGTCATTCTAACCCTTAACTGTTAGGCCTAGCGGTGAAAGCACCAGGATACGGTGAGTTGTAGTTCCGCCTTAGCCATGAAAGCACAGCTGGGTGATTTCTGCCCAATCACCAGGAGAAAGGGAGTTCTAGTCCCTCTGGCCCAATCACTGGGAAACGGGGAGTTCTAGTCCCATGAAAGGAACTGGGTGACTTTGGCCCAATCACTAGGAAGACAGTGAGTTCTAGTCCCACCTTAGGCATGAAAGTTATCTGGGTGACTCTGACCCAATCACAAGGAAACGGGGAGTTCTAGTCCTGACAGCATCCCTTAACAACGTAACAACAATTAACAACTGAAATGATTCACTTAACCACCATGGCAAGGAAGGTCGAGAAAGGAGGTCAAATTCACTTAACAACTAAGTGAACAAGTTAGCAGAGGAAATGTCGGGCCCAATTATGGTCGTACATCAAGGACTACTTAAAATACACATAAAAACAGGGCGGAGCTGAATGGCCTGATCACGCCCACCATTTTTTGGGAGACCCCTCCCCCTGCCCAGAGGTCTCTGATCCTGAATCAGATCCAGGAGGTCAACTTAGGACAATTCACAGGGTTCAAAGCTTCGGTGACCCCCAAATGGAGGTTTGAACTTACAAATATTGGCTTGTTTATTTTTTGCCCAACATCTGGAAGGAAGGAAGGAAGGAAGGAGAAAAAAGGAGGAGGAGGGAAGGAGGGAGGGAGGGAGGGAAAGAACAAAGATGTAGCGAAAGAAAGAAAAATAAAGAAGGAAGGAAGACAATAAAAAGAAAGAAAGATGGAAGGAAGGAAAGAAGGAAGACAGAAAAAAGAAAGATGGAAGGAAGGGAGGAAGGGAGGAAAGAAGACAGAAAAAAGAAAAAAGAAAGATGGAAGGAAGGAAGGAAGGGGGGAAGGGAGGAAAGAAGGAAGACAGAAAAAAGAAAGATGGAAGGAAGGAAGGGAGGAAGGGAGGA